TGAGACCATGCTTCGTTTGGCGAGCGGAACGCGGCAACCTCATCGGAAGGGCTTCTTAACGTTGGAGATGGCGAGGTAGGTGAGGGGCTTCTTGAGGACGCTGGAGAACTGGAAGGCGATCCAGATACTACAAAGTGACCTCCAGTCCTCACAGCAGCACTGGGCGGTACTGAGGGATCCCGCGAGTGTACTGGTCTCGTATAAGTGTCGACACTGCCATGGTTGAACTCCAGCCTCGCCAACTCAAGTTGTGCTTGTTCTTTCTCCTGCTCAACTGGCACGCGGCCGCGTCCGTACTGTGCCTCCTTGGTTAAGATGCATCGTCTGCGTATGCCATTGAGGATGGCAGCCTTCCTAAGCAAGTTCCGTCCAAGGGCCTTTTGCTTGGCCCATACTGCAATCTTAGAGCTACCGCGATCCACGATATTGGTTGCTGGGTGCGAGAACTGTGGCGATAGTCGTGAAGTGATGAGGAACAACCGAAGGCGCCGCTTCTTCTTCTGCACGCAAGAATGCTCGCCATCGATATCAGCCACCGGCCGGCTGCGCTTCCTGGATTCGCACGGCGAAGGGCGAGGCAGAAAGGTAAGACCCATGGTGGGCCGAGGAGGTATATTGAACTCCAAAGTAGACGATTGCCCAATAGGAAGTAGGTTTTCGAATCGTCGAGTTGGTGATGTTGCGTGCTCAGTGGGGGCTTGCATCATCCTCCGTTGCCCAACTTCATGCACTGTCTTCGGGAGATGGAGCTGGTGACGCGAATCGGCATTCTCGCACAGCAATCCTGATCTAGCAGTGGCGAGGTATGATGGTGCTAGTTCAGACTGTCGAAATGTCGGTATGCCGTGCGGATACGGCGCGAGGTTGACAGATGGATGTGGAGCCAAAGACGCCGTGCTAACGAAGGGCGAATCTTAGCTTGGGGTGTAAGCGTGCAATATCGAGGTCCGGCCTGTCACGAGACGACCTTTGGAGCCCGAGACGAGACGCGAAGTGAGCATGCGCGTGACGCAGTTACTGATTGGGCGAGTTAATATCGAAAGCCAAAGGGTCGCCAGCGAGGGAACATGTCGGTGCCAGAGAGTAAGCAGTCGGCGACGATGAAAGTGGTATTCTGTCTTGTGCAGAAGAGGGGCTAATAATATCGCTAGGGAGGTGCAGGAGCGGATGACCCAGCGCTATGGGCAAGATGCGGAGAACCCCAGTAGCCATCTGCCACACTACCACTAGTGACATGCACACATCATCTTCTTACTGGACAACGTGAGAAGGTCTTTGCAAGCCACGGCATCCAGACACGCACTCGGTGAATTGACCACTGAAGACTCGACCGCAACATCGGTCAGGGCCAGCTTTGTGAGGCTGCAGCACGTCGTAGCGCAGGCGAAAATGGGACTTTTTTTTCGTGTTTGAGGGAAGAGGCGCACGCTCACAGAAGAGGAGGAGATGGGCGCTGGCCGGTCGGAGAAGGTCTCCATGCCCAAACTTCATTCAAGTGAGGCTTCAAGCTTCAGGGGTTCCCGTCTGTCAAACCCTGTCGCTCTTCCCCAAGATGCCGCCGATCAGCCCAGACCCCGAATCCTTCAGCTGCAGCCAACGAAAGCACCATCACGCTTTTCGCCATTCGCCATCGAGCAGGAAGAGTTTGCGGCCATGTCATCACTCGAGCAGCGCTGGGTTTGTCCTTGTCAAATGTAGACAGATGACAGCAACACGCGCGTACACCATCAGACGAAACCACGTCGCAGCGAATGACAGATTCGATGTCCGAGGCACAGTCTGACAGGGTCTAGGGCACCGACGATCCAAGAACCCTGGGGTTGTGCGACGCATTCGGCTCCCCTCGAGCTGAGCTGCACGACATGGGATTTACGATCGCCCAATAGCGGGGCAGTCGCTTCGATGTCTTGACGAAGATGCCTGGATCACTGGGCAGCAATTCAGAGATCCCATCGTAGAGCCAGACCGCTCAAAGGCGAACCTACGCAGAGGAGGTGTACGGGCGATGCCACCTTCCTTCATATGCGATCGACGATGCTCCTACGTCTATCTCACCTGTCTTGATGTCAGCAACTCTGCCCGCGGAGAACACCTTTCGCCTCTGCGGACCACGGCGCTTCACGAACAACAGCCACCTCACAATGTCGTGCTCCACATTCTACCTCTCGTCTGCTCGTGTAACAGCCTTACGTTTCGTTTCCCCTTCTCCAGTCCTGCACTCCAGCTTACACGGCATGTGCAGCACACGCTGCACTCCGCACTGCTGCACAACACACACGCACACTCATCTCATTCGCCCACCCCGTCCTAAATCTGCAAGTCGTCACGAGCCCTAATCTCGTTCGTCTCGTTCGACGTGTTCAAAAGACTAATGCTCAAGCTCGCACATCGGCGACCTCCATATTCGCCTTCTCTTTTTGTGCTGCTGTCTGCTGTCTGCTGTAAGAAGAGGGTGGCCTAACACTGACGCTCCTTCCTCTTGAACAACAAAATTCACGCAACGCATGACAGCCCAGCCCAACCCGCATCCGTAGCGCCATGCATGAAGATGAGGCTCAGCGTGCGTCGTTTGAAAGAAAACTCGTTCGTTTTACCGAGAGAATAAGCAATATGGACGCCACCTACACCACATCGCGATGGGTACACCAACCACCTAGTCTATGTTAAAGCACCAATGGATAGCTCCTCGGCAATACACTTCCTCGAGATGTGATTTGCGGGACAAAGGCTTGCTATGAGCTTGTAAGTCGATCAGGATGCGCAAGTATACAGTAGCGGGCGACTGTGCTGTGTTGGTCGGTGGAGTGGGCCGAGGGGGGAGGACAGTCCCGTCCCGCTCTTGGCAATTGGCGTCTGAACGGTGAGCGACGAAGAGTAGAGCCCGAAAGGGTAATTAGAGCGAAGATGAGAGAAGGGTATTTGAGATCATGGTGAGTCGGTAGTGGAGAAAAGCTCCAGCAGAGGGTTTGGCTATCATGTGCATTGGCATGTATCTCAATATGTATGCTCTGATAACGTGTAGGCGATTGGGTACTTGGAAGTGCTGGATTTGGGGTGGACATATACTCTGATCGTTGTCCATTTCAATGGCTGCCGGTGAGATGAAGATTGCCAGCTACTTCCGCTACATAGACTGGTCTCATAACAAGTTCACTCTGTTGGTTTCCACTTGGTCTCTTCCACGAGCACCTTTTCCCTCCCCTATACTTTCGTTTCGAAGAGTAAACAATCTCCAGTACGAAGATCGTTCACACTGCTTCGCTGGGGCGAGAAGTGTGCTGGATGTACAGCTGGTCTCTTCTACTGGTGATTCTTCATTCAGCAACGTATCTCCCGTGTCGTTGCTACTCTCGCGGTGCTGAAGTTTGCCTCCAATGCGACTCTATCCTTGATACGAATGTCTCAGATCATAAGATCAGGATCCGGCTGCCAAAGGTATAAGTCCTTATCCGCGCTCGCCAGTAGGTTGGTCCTCGGGTTATATCCTACGACAGCGCTCTTTCCCTGTCCCGGTAGCTTCTCCATGGGCTCAAGCATATTGTTCGGCGCCGGTGCTTTCGAAATATCCCACACCAAGAGACCGTCCTCGCCGCTACCTCCAATGAGGAACTTGCCATCTGGCGTGAGACACACGTCGCCCTGTCCGTTTGCAGGACCGCTGCCATCGGATTTGGCACCGGTTTTGTTGGTGACGGATGCGCTGGGCGGGAGACGTTCCGATGAACCAGCCTTGCGGTAGCAGAAATGCGTCAGGTCGCCCGAGAAGGCGTCTAGCACAAAATGTCCGCTGCCGTTTGTCGCAACGACAAGACTCTTTCCGTCGTTTGTAAACTCAATCTTGGTCCACTCGACCTTTTGTCCTCCCATGAAGCGCTGCTCCGCCTCGAGGAGATCGAAAGTTGCGAACGGCGGCTTATCGTAGTTGCGCATATCGTAGAGGAGGACGTTCTGCGTGGGCGGGGATGCGATGGCGATGACGGTCGCGGAGGGATCGTAGGCGGCGAGGTAGGCGCCGTGGAGGTTGAGCATGCCGACGTAGTTGGGAGATTGCAGGTTCCATAACCGCACCGTGTTGTCTTTCGAGCAGCTTATGAAGTCGTCTTTGGACGGACACAGGGCGATTGAGGTCACTGTGTCGGTGTGGCCCTTGAAGTAGCGGATGTACGAGTTGTCGTGTGTGGAGAGGAAGCGGATGGTGTCGTCGATCTTGGTACTCGCGCAGATGATGCTCTGGGCATGGTGGCTGAAGCGCGCAAGATGTACGCCGTACTTTTGGCTCTTGAGCTCCTTGGCGTGCTTGCCTTCTTTGCAGTTGTAGATTTGGAGGGTATCGTCGTCGCGTGCGACAATGGCTAGTTCGCCCGAGTCGTCAAAGTCGAGGGACGTTACTGAGGTGCCCTGGCCGCCCGATTTGAAGCGCTACAAGGTGTTAGTATTGGACATGTACAAAGGCATAGTATATTAATCTCACCCTCTGCGGCCGGAAGCTCGTTATGACGTCGGCGACTTTCTGTGTCGGCGGGCCTGCAGGCGGCGGTGGAGGCCCGCCGCCGGGTGTCGCTGAGCCAGCCATGTGAGTGTTGAGCTCCTAATCCTCTGCTGCGACAACTGCGTTCATCTCCACCTCTTCAGTCGGCGAATCAGCGGGCGCGTAAAGTCAAGCACGCGACGCGACGTGGATAATTAGAGCCGGCGGAATGCGCTGAAGAGTTGCAGCACATTGAACGAAGTGGGTCCGAGCGGTCTTACGTAGCTGTCCATGCCGAGCCGAAACCGGAACGATTATTCATATTCACCTGGACAATTCCTCAGCATTGCCATTGTTACCACAAGACGTGTATAGCTTCGCATTCGTCTAATCTTATTTCCGTTCCTAGTTCCTACCAAAGTCTTCCTGTTGGATTCATGATCGCGCGGTGACCCACGTCGCTACCACCACCGAATACATAATCTCCCCATATTTCCGAATTGCGCGCCGAAGAGTCGCATAGAGCGTGAGAATGTCTACAACCCTCGGGTAGGTACTCAATATAAAGCTTAGATACTTGATCAATTGTATTAACGACTGTCCCCACCAGCTCCTTCATAGCCGGCGGCATAGCAGCATGCGGTGCAGTCACAGTAACCCACGGCTTCGAGACCGTCAAAATCCGGTGCGCGTCTTCGCTCGCAACACCTGCGCGACCAGCTCGTTGACGATCGCCCAGACTACAACTACAAGGCGAGCTTAAAGCGAGAAGCGACGCGCCGCGATTATACAAGGGCGTCTTCCACGGTGTCAGCGTCATCTTGAAGAATGAAGGACCCAGAGGTTTACTACGTGGTCTGGGATGTGCAGTATGTCTAGCATACATATCCAGGAACAATGGGACGAGCAGAGACTGACGCGCCCAGTACGTCTACCAAATGACCCTCAACGGCTGCCGACTAGGCTTCTACGAACCCCTCCGCAAGACCCTCACAAACGTCGTATACAGCGACCCAGCCGTCCAATCCTTCGGCATCAACCTCTTCGCCGGCGCTTCATCCGGTGTCCTAGGCGCAGCAGCCGGCTCCCCCTTCTTCCTCGTAAAGACGCGGTTGCAATCCTACTCGCCCTTCCTACCCGTCGGCACACAACACAACTACCGAAACGCCGTCGATGGCATGCGGCAAATATACGGCGGCGAAGGAGTCAAGGGCCTGTACAGAGGTGTAGGACCGGCCATGGTACGCACAGGTTTCGGCAGCTCAGTCCAACTGCCCACGTATTTCTTCGCGAAGAGGCGGTTAGTGAAACATCTGGGTATGGAAGAGGGCATGCCGCTGCATATTGCGAGTAGCACGGCCAGTGGCTTTGTCGTCTGCTGTGTCATGCATCCCCCGGATACCATCATGTCGCGCATGTACAACCAGACGGGCAACCTGTACACATCGGCTTTTGACTGCTTGAGTCGGACGGTCAAGACGGAGGGTATCTTTGCGCTGTACAAGGGCTACTTTGCTCATCTGGCGCGCATTCTGCCCCATACGGTATGTCAGACAGATGTAATAGGTGGGACTCGGTCGCTAACATTGACATAGATTCTGACCCTTACACTCGCCGAACAAACGATCAAGCTCATGCGCTTGGTAGAAAACCGGATAGGCGTTTCAGACGTCAAGGAGAAGATATGAGAAGGGCTGCTTGTGAGGAGTGGGAGCTAAACCTGTGATATCACCTACGATCTCGCGGTGTTCGACATACCGTACGCAACTTGACGAGACGGTGCAGATATCTATGAAGAGTAGTCACGTATCGAGAACGAAGCAAAGCGTTTCGTATACACAACAAAGGACAGAGGGAGAATTGAATAGATACCAACACCAGCTGGCAAATTGCCACTCACTGAGATGTTAGAATCTGAGAATATCCCATACATCTAAAACCCCTCCGACTTGGGTCCCTGACGTAACAACGAGGCATGTCTATAAAGCCTCTGCACGTCCAGAGCAGTCCCTCTTTATTCATCATCCTCCCACCCCTCAGGCAACCATCCAATCGGTCTCGGTTTCCACATCCCCAACACCTTAGTCGGCCCCTTGATCTTCTCCTTGACCACATCCTCCTTTCCATCATTCTTTCTAACCGGCAAAGCTTTCTCAATCTCTTCAACATCAACCTCCATCTCCTCACCTCCCGCTCCCTCCGCCCTCGCAGCCTCCAGCACCGCACGCCACAACTTCTCATCTACAACGTCCCTTGCAGCATCCAGCACCTTCTCCGCAACCCTCAAATTCCAAAACGACGGTTCGGAGAAACACACCCCAAGCACCTCTTCCACAACCTTTCTCTCCGCCGCCCCACCTCCACGTACACCCGCCCATTCCTCCGACGTAAGGACATGGACAATCCAGTCCTGCAGCCCCTCCCTCACAGGATCCATCTCCGGATTCATCATTGCGCGCGCAGCGGGGGAAGAAGCGTTCATAGCACGCATGAGATGCTCGACCAGAGTCTTGATGTGCAGCACGCCGCCGTCGAGGCAGAACGCACGTAAGAGGGGTGTCCAGATGATGAAGGCGCCGGACATGGTACTGCCTGGTTTCTTGTCTGTGGGCAGAATCATTTTCTCGTCGACCAACAGGTGTAGAAGTACGCGCTGGGTTTGAGTCGAAGGCGTGGTGGTAGCAGTGGGTGCGTAACGCAGGGTATACGTCGACAATGCTGTTTCAGCAGCTCTGCTATCATCTTTCTTCCTGTTTTTGATCTCGGACTTGCGTTCTTTGACGTAGGTTTTTAGTATATTTTGGAGTTTTTCTCGCACGGCTTCACGGCTTTGGACGCCTAGTTCTTCCTCTTCTTCTGTTCCTGCAGTTGGGGTGATACCGGTCTTGAATGCATGGTCGAGTTGGAGCCAGTACCATTCCCAGAGCCAGGAGAGGGACTCGGTGGCTGCACGCTTTAGCTCGGCGAGGGAAGGGAGATGTCGGTGGACGATTCGGTGACGGGTTTCTAGGAGTGTGAGAGGTAGTTGAAGTGATTTTCCGTGAGGGAACCAGGAGGGTCGGTCACGAGTTAGGTCGATTTGGGTGTCTGCTAGGCCGGTTATGAATCTGGGGGTATTAGATGGGTCATTTGTATGGGATTGGGTTGATGTTGTGATTAGGGTGATGCAATTCCATGCTTGATGGATCGTTATGCAAGACGATTTGATGGAAATGGACAAGGAGTGTTGATAATGGTAAGAAGGAATGGTAGTGCAAAGACGTGGTGAACACGTTCTTCTGCAGCGAGGGAAAGCTGCTGAGATATCCATGAAGCTCAGCTTCGAATAAACCTACCTCGATATCGCAGTCGCGTACAACAACCGCAGTGCATTATGTTGCAACTCGCCTCTTCCATCTTGAAGCACTACATCGACGATATCTGCCGTCGAGTCCAGCAGCAATGGCAAGCCATCAGGTTTCCGTAGTCGCCAAGCAAACACCTACCTGTCATCAGCACACTGTGGCTGTCGACTCTCCTGCAGAGTATATTGGTTTCTCCCAGCGTACCTTGTTCACCGCCTTCTCTCTCCTACTAGTCTCAGGACTATACAGGTCCTGGCGCAGCTGAAGCAGCTCGCGACTATCGCGCCACGCCGTAACAACAAACCGGGCATGCGATTCCATATCTTTAGTCGCAGTCGCGCAGATGGACGCGTTTCTGCGGTGCGAAAGTTTCAAACCCTGCTATTGGCTAGCTCAGCACCTGGGCATGCAACGTCGCAGGTGAAGGCACGTGAACTCGCGTTGGAAATTTCCTCAGTCGTTCCAGATTGCTCGCCCTATCGATAAGCGCTAAAAGTCTCATCCATGGCCTTTAGCATCGAGCCAATGACGCAAAGCCACCCGGCAAAACCTTGGACTTGTTTTTTTCCTTCCTTCCCCCATCTCCATCGCAAACCCAATCTCACAAGCCACGCACCCCAACTTCTGGAACCTCTGTCGTCTGAACTCTTAACTTCGCGCTACTTGCTTAGTCTCCGGTGACGACCATGACAGGAGGGAACAGGCAGCGTGGCACATCCTGCTGCTCGGTTAGCTGGTAAACTTCGGCACTAGACGCCCGGAGGGGCTCAGATGTTCGGTCAGGGCAACTGAAGCGGGTCTGGCCGAAGTTGGGCGGAGCTGAGCAGAAAAAGAGTGCAGAGACCAGGACAATGGTGCAGCATCCATAGCCTTCTGCCGCGCAGGGCTGGCGTGGCTCGCTCCGTCTGACGGCGTAACGATCGGTCGGACCGTAGAGGTGTCTGCGTCACTCCGACATGGTGTGTGCGTGTTTGCGCCCATCAATCATGCCACTTTGTGAGGCTGATGCTACTCTGTTATTTTATCGGTCTTCGGTCCTTTGCCGGGCGTTGTGACACAATTGCGCGCTGGCCCTGTTGCGTCAGACTAGGACCGGAGGACGGCGGCATGTCGCCGACATATGATGTTGGTGTGTCTTGTGCTGGTCGCCTTGGAATGCAATGTGTTTGGTGCACTAAGGGCTGGTACATGGCGGCTTGCGCCGAGACGAGAGTGCGTTGGGACCATGGTTGAGCGAAAAGGCTAGAAGCGTTGAAGAAGCTTGTGGGTTGTGAAGGACGAGGATGCATCGTGTTACGGCATCCTGTGAGTTCTGGGGCAGGCCAGGTGCGCGATGGGGTGCACCTTCCTTTCTCGTCGACGGCTCACTGCCAGGCTTCTTGGGCACTATGTGTTCACAAGCATCATAGAGTAGACTCGTCAGCACTGCATATTGGGCCAAAGTATGTTGTAGTATAGTTGATTTGGTTGATGATGCTATCTAATACATCATCTTCATCTGACCTCATAGTGAGCGATGCAAAGCCTCACTCTATTGCCGCTAAAGGCAGGGTATCTCTAAGTCTCTTTTCCGGTCCCAAGCGGAACCATGCAAAACGCCGCGCTGTGCTGAAAGAACTCGCCTCGAAAGAATGCTCGCCTCGAAGATAGGGCAGTGGACCTCTGTCGTGGTCGCACGTTTGAAACAGACATCTAGATTACAACCAGCCATATCCCAGCCCGGCGTCCCGCACCGGCATGGTGGGCTGCTTCATTTGGTGAAACCACCACTCCTTTGACACCGACTCGTCTTCGTCGAAGAAGAAGCTCTGTCCCTCCATGTTGTTTGGAGTTTGAGCTTTGACATGAACGGGCAGGTGCTGTGACTGTTGTGCCGGCAGAGGCGGCGATGGCTCCTCAACGCTGGCCTCAGAGCTGGCATCATCGTCTTCCTCCTCTTCATCGTCAGCCTCAGGTGGCTGCCAAGTCTCCTCCAGCTTGAGACCCTTGCCAGTTCCTTCGTTGTTGAGGGCACCCCAGCTCAATGAGGGCTCTGGTGCATCGTATAGACCCAGTGCAACTAGCTTCTCGCCATCGTCGTCTTCCATATCTTGGTCTTGCTGAGCAGGGTGTTGAATAGGCAGGAAGTCGGTAGATGCTTGAGCCTGGTTCTTTTGGGCCCATTGCTGCAGGTACCATGGTAGAGGCTCGGTCGAGGGAGTGTTTAGAGAAGAGTGGACATAGCCGGGTGTGGGCTGAACGCTTTGCCAGCCGCTCTCGGACTGGGTGTTGGTGTATGTCGGGCCGCTGGTCATGGGCTCGAACATGGAGTTACGTGTGGACAGAGAGTAGAAGTCAGAGCCATGTTGAGAGTCGCGGGATGAGGGAGAGTAGTGTTGTGACCAGTGTTGTTGAGGCATGGGCTCGAAGTGGTTCGTTTGTTGTGAAGCCTGGAACTGTGCAGACGATGGGTGCCAGCTCACAGGTCTGCTTGGTTGGGGACGGTCTTCAGTTTCCTCGGCTGGTACACCGAACATCATCCTGTAGTGGTCGTCCAACGAAGCGTAGAGCTTGGTCTCGGTGGTGGTCTTTCTCCTCTCCATGCTCTTTGGGCTGTTGTGGTGGCTCTTGGTCTTTTCAACGCGAGATGATCGGCATGCTGATTGGCTGCCTGAGCTGCGAGAGGTACGCCGGTGAAGCGTTGAGGTTTGCATGTGGCCGGACATGGTGGGCAAGTGGTGGTGTGGTCAAGTCGTAGTGTGGGAAGGCAGTGATGATATACAGTAGAGAGGCGGGATGTCTCAGCGGTTTGTATGTGGCAGGCGGTTGTGTCGGTGACAATCAGTCTTGTCTGACTTGGAAGCGTGCCGGGCTGGGGGACATCTGCATAGGTATATGGGGTGCCAAGAGATATAGACAGATCAGGAAGGGTGGATGGGGAAATTGAAGTAGAGTAACCTCGCGGCCGGAGTCATGGTACAAGGAATGCCAGGGCCAGGCTAGCGAAACTCAAGAACAGCTAATAGTGGAATAGGTGCAGACAAGGAACGGGAGTGTATTGACTATACGGAGCCACCAAGGGATGGCTCGGTGAGGTGCGCTGTGACGACTAGGGCCAGTGGCACGGCTGGAACGATCAACGAGAGGCATAGTGCGTGGAGCGAAAAGGAAGACTTGGAATGACCAAATCACACGACAGGGAAGGTAGACGAGGGCGGCGTACCATGTATCATGGCGCAACGCGCAACGGAGCATCCGTGCAGCTAGACGACGGCCGGCTCATGGAGAAGGCAGGCCAGGGAACCACAGCGCCCGCAACGATGATGGCAGAAAGCGGTAGTGCGACTAGGCCCTGTCGAGCGGTGCAGTGCGACTCAGCTGGGCTCCACGCCGGGGAGAGTGTCGTGTGCACGGGGCGGTGGCCTCCAGGCGGTCAGCTAGGGAAGAGGAGCGTCATGTTTTAGCCGCGCCTGCGCATGGCATGATTAGTGGAAGGCGGCCGGCGATACTCCATGGGCGACATGGGGCGTCGTGTGTGGGAGGCCTGCAGGACGAAGTGCATTATCCAGCAACGATCCGTGTCGGCGCCAGCAGCATCGCGAGATCAGGGGCGGATGGGGGGTCAAACTTTGGTTGGCGCAGTAGTTTCGGAAAGGGTTGGAAGAAGCGGAGCGAGGTTGGGTCCTGCTGCGCTACGCCTACTCCTTCACAGCAGCCCTCGCGCTAGTGACATGCGCCAATCAGCGCCGCCCGCGCACTGCAATCGGTCCACCATACCCGCACCCAGCACCTCCTGCGTGGTCGCGCGTGCAGCCGGCAAACCACACTGCTGGCCCACGGTATCCAAGCGCGATCTGGGGTGGGCGCGCCTCCGGGCTCTCCATTAGCCTGCCCCTAGCCGAGCGTCTTCCAGAAATCGGCATGCAGCTAATCCACCCCTGCCGCCTGTAACGGGGACGGGCAAGTCGATGACATGGGACTTTGCAGAGGCATGCAGCATCAGACATGCATCGCTGGCCGAGGTCACACAGCCAACGGCGAGCCACTCGCGGAGATTGGAGCAATCAGCGCAGAGCATCGGCATGTCATCAGCCTTGCATCTTCTAGTCCTCTACTGTCCTGTGCAGTCTTTCACACCGGACGCAAGAAGCCGCCGTCCATCGGTCGACCCCCCGGCCTGGGTACATGTGCCGCCACGACGGGTTACGCCTAAAGGGCCCCCGTACATGAGGTTGTGTCGAGTCTTGCACCCTTGCTCTCTTAGGCACCGCCGAGGAAAAGCACTTTAACCTTTTGCCAGCGTCGTGCTCCACCTGGGCACGCCTTGAAACCATGCGCACCGTGGCCAACGTCGTCTGTCGGGCGTGAACAACCGAGCGACCGGTCTGTTGATCCAAACACTGACGCCGTGACCCAAGAGTCCAAGACCATCCTGAACCGCTGCATCGCACCCGGCACTCAACACCGGGCACAGTGTGGCCGTCTGGCGATACGCGCGTTCACGTAGCTGGCATGTCATTCCGCTCGCGCCATCGTCTAGCACTGCAAATAGCGCATCTATAGACTAGGTCGAAGCCTATTATAGCACGCCGGTATTCCCTTCAACGTCGCGGTGGGTGGAGTGGATCCGATCATCACGATGAGTGCTGGCTGCACCTAATACGAAGCACAAAGCCTGGCTGCGCCCCGGTGACAAAGAAGCGGCATGCTTCGTGAGGATCCATCTATTGAAGCATGCCGCTATCACCTACCGTTATTTGCAGCACCGCTGTCTCAACCAACATGACAAGCGGGCGACCGATCCCTCCATCTCACGACAAGGTCTGCACACCTCCCTGTTGACCCCACGGTGACCAGGCCCAAAGCGGCAGTGCCGTTCGACAACCAGAAATGAGAAAATCCCCGCGTGGCTGATGAGATGCAGCCGAAGCGCCGAGAGACCAACCCTGGCTTCGTCCCGCCTGAATGATCTACAGCGGTCCAACGCGGGCGCAAGGATCTTTTTGGTGGTTCAAACGAACAGGATCATGTCAGGGGGCTTGCATCTTGTCGCCAAAAAGAGCATATGCAAGCTGCACTTGGGTCCTTGCATGGGGGTCTTGTTCACGGATACACTCAAAAGCATCGTCAACGTTTGCTTGGCTGCAGCCAAATCCCATCTACACATGG